TACCCGCGGTCGCCTCCCCCCCCCCCCCCCCCCCCCGTAGACTGGACACTCACAGTGGCACCACCGTGTACCTCGTGGCGGGGGGCGGAAGGGGGGCGTGAGCGTGCCCTGGCCAGTGCTTCTCCTCACTGAGCCCTCTGGTCCTAACCTCCACTAGCCTGGCCGGTAAAAACGGCCTACTTGGTCTACGTTTCTGTGTTTCACACGCATGTTTCCTCTTTTGTAGGTTCATTTTGTTTTTATTCATTTATCTTCCGGGAGTCTTAGTTTCCTTAAGCACCTCTGAGCTTTTTCCACATAGAAACGCCTGTCACGCGTCCCTCTTACAGACATGCTTCCCAGTGTGCGTCCTGATGCTGCACGTAGTCCCCTCTGCTCGTCCTCTGTCACTGCTTCCACGCTTCGCACGGAAGTCCCTTCCCGCTCTGACCCACTCTGACAGTCGCCTGTACTTCCCACTGGCTGCTTCCTTGATGCGCCAAAATACAAACCAAAGTCACCCCTCAGCCACGTTAAGCGTGCGGTTTGCCGGATTCGGCGCGTTCACGAGGCTGTGCCGCTGCCGCGCCACCCTCACGGAACTTCGCCTTCCCAAACCGAGCCTCCGTCCCTGTTCCACACTAGCTCCTGGCGCCCCGTCTGCCCTCCTGCGAGTCGGCCTCCTGCGGCTTCACAGCCTGCTGAGCCGCCGTCCTTTCCCCGGGCTCATCCGATGCCCTGGGGCTCCGCTGTGGCGTGTGGAGCGCCGCGGCCCGGGCGGTCACAGAGGGGTGCCTGCGGTCAGTCCCTCCTCTCTTGCTAGCTTGCCGGTTCCAGCTGTGCTTTTCCCTGTCCACGTCTGAGAGGAACAGTACCTCCCTCGGGGGCCTGTCGTGAGCTGTGTGGTTGTGGAATGCCCAGCATTTACCAGGTCTTCTGGAGAAGACCTTATTCCTGCTTTAATCTTCCCAGATTGTGTAGAAGGAGAGCAGTCTTCGTTAACGCAGTGTCGTTTTTCCATTTGTTAACGACTGTGTGGCTTTGGTCTCAGGGACTAGAAAACGAACACCAGGAGGAAGGACGGCTCCTGGGACGGTTTACATATGATCAAGACGGGGAGTCCCTCCAGATGTTCCACGCGCCGGTAAGCACTTGCGCGGCTCGGCCTGGCCCGTAGCTTCCCGAGGCCTGACGCGCACTCCGCCTGCTCTCGGCTCAGCAGGACCCCCCGCTGGCCTCAGCAAAGCTGCCCGGTGGGGTCCGTGGGCATCAGCCTGAGCGAGTGACCCTGAGCCTCCTGACTTTTCCCAGAGGAGCCTTCTTAGCGTATATGTGGTTCCACGTGCATGTGTCCCGTTGCCGGAAGCCGAAAGTAAATCTGGGGCCCGCTAGGAGTCCGTTTCTACCTGAGCTACGTGTCCTAGGATACGTGACTTAGTTCATACTGAGAACTTAATCCTCCAGCTTGACCGCTTACTCTCAAGTATCATGGTCGGGAAAGTGATCAGGCCTGGGGTGTTCATGTGGATAATCGTGATTTCCTCCCCACCTTGTGATTCCAGAAAAGACCCGAGAGAGCTTTCCAAATAGTGGAACTTCGGATTTTCTCTAACTGGGGCCATCCGGAATACACGTGTCTTTATCGGTTCAGAGTCCACGGAGAACCCATCAAGTAAAGATCCTGCTGTCAGTTCTTGTACATCTTGTATATACTGGGACAGCCTGACACACTGGAACCCTTTGTGAACCAGGGCACATGGAGTAACAGGATACTGTCACCCCTAAATAAACGCCACCGACTGCCACTGGGAGTGGACGCCCTGCTTGCTCTTCTGTCCACAGAAAACGCTGCATGTCGAATGCGTAGTTTCACCGAGGTCTGCCAGCAACAGCCGATCTCTGTGGAGATTCCTTTGAATGTGTGGGTCACAAAGACACATGTGTTGTTTTGGGGATTTGTTTTTGAACATGAAGCTCTTGATACTTGTATTTTCTTGACATCAGGAACAAAGCAAATTAAAAGGTCGAAGTGTGTGAAGCTTTGATATTTAGCCTTTCACTGGCCCTTCTCAAGGACTTTCGGGGGCAGATCGATTTCATGTGTTCGATCCCGCACACGTTTCTTTCAGGGAAAAACCGCGTCACCAAGTTTCGGTTGTGAACTCCTTTTTTCCAGGGTAGGATTTTTCCCTTTATCCCGCACCAGGTGGGGAAATTCCTGCAATGTGTATTTCTGCTTAGTCTGTTTTACTGTGGGCTGAAGGGGGGTCTCACATGAAAGGGGGCGGTCTGGATCTAAATGGACACATCAGTCGAGCTCTCAGGTCTCAAGGAGGCTCATCCCCCCCCGGGGGCCGTCCCCGAGTCTGCGCAGTGTCCGAGGGAGCCGGGACACCCAGGCTTGTGGGTGTCGTCTGCGTCTGTTTTGAATTTTGCTGCAGAGTTGAACACTAACCTGCTCCCTGTCTTTCCGAGTCTGAAATTTTTCCTCCACTGACGGTTATCCAAGGGGATTGTTCAGGGTCGCAAATTCTTGAAACCATTACATTTTGTGGTTATACTTTTTCTCACAGTGGCACTTTCTTCCCGCCTCTAGCTGGGATTTGCCTCTTACTATGGCTGTCGGCCGTTCTCAGTTCCTTGAGACTCATTGTTTATAGTTAATATTTAATATTTAGACTATTTTACTGAGCAGACTTTATAAATGAGATATCTGCAAGGCACTTAAAGTGTTACAGATGTTTTAAAAATTATTGAAGTTTTATTGGTTAAGACCGTTCTTTTGGTGTTCTCATAAATACTGTATTTTCAGAAAAAGTAAATGATGGTGCTGACTGGTTTTCTGAAGAGTTTTATGTATATTGCACAACAGTCCTCAGATACATAAAAACTACACAAAGTAGCATTTTTTTCACTCTTCTTAGAATTGGGACTAACTAATGCCTATGCAGTTAAGTCAGATAAAATGTATACAGATGTTTCATATATTACGGGATAAATCTATAAATCAAAATTTCCTATATAAAACTAAATTTGGGAGTTGGGTGGAAGTATTTTGAATATTTATTTTTAAAGATGCAAGACAGGACTTTGTGCGCGGTATTTTTGTAAATGCTTTTCAAAACACTTGTCTTTGGTAGTGCTGCTTTTGCTGCCACCAAATTGATAAGATGCTATCGAAATGTTTAAATAAAGAGTTTAAATTTTTAAAAGCGCATGTGATGTTTCGAATGCATAATAAATGGTGTCTTTTCTCCGTTTGCTCTGTTCCTGCCCGCGGGGTGTGGGGCGATGACGCTTGCGAGTTCTAGAGACGGCCCCTTGGGAAAACGAGGTGAGCTGCAGAGAGGGTTGCCGGACATGGAGAAAATCGGGAAAAAGAGGAGGTGGATCTCCTCCAAGGAACATCTGCGTCATCAGGGCACCTGCTGCCAAAGATGGGTTTGGGACGGGGGTTCATTTGTAAGTCTGACCCGGGATTGGTTCATTCAGTCAACACCTCCTGAATGCCTACTGCGTGCGTGAGGCCCTGGGCTGAGGATCCCTAGTGAGCCAGGACAGAGCGCCTCTTCGGCAAGAGCTGAAGCGGCGGGAGGAAGCAGCACAGCACCCCGGTGGCGGGGCGTGGTGGCGGGGCGTGAGGCCTCCGCCCGGAAGGGACCCTGGAGGCCAGGACCCCCAGGGGAAGGCTGCACCTGCGTCTCCCTGTCGGTTTTCGGGTTCCCACTCTGTTTTTGACCTTCTGGAGACACCGTGCCCACTAGCAAAAATAGGTGTATACTTCGCTGTTGTTTACAGGAGACAAATGACCGCGTACTCCACTTAACAGCGCTGTGCCTCCCTTTTTTCCATTGTGAAAAATACCTGGAGATCTGTCACAAAGGAACTTTAAACAAAATAGCAATACCATTGGGGATTTAATGGTTACTGATCTACCGACCTTTGTTTGCATCATCTATACGAACAATAGGTTACAAACAAGGACTCTGTAATCAACATCCTCCGGGGTCTGATGTTGGCTGACACTGAAATCCAACTGGGCTGCAGTTGTGCCCCCCCCCCCAGTCCCTGTCCCCATCCCCGTCCCCAGAACCCATCCCCTGTCCCATCCTTTTCCCTGTCCCCAGAACCCATCCACTGTCCCCAGCCTCCATCTGTGTCCTCATCTCCTGCTCCCATCCTTGTCCCTGTCCCCATAACCCATCCTCTGTCCCCAGCCTCCATCTGTGTCCCCATCTCTGTCACCATCACCCATCCTCTCTCCCCATCCCCTGTCCCATTCTTGTCCCTGTTCCCAGAAGCCATCCACTGTCCTCATCCCATCTCCATCCCCTGTCCCATCCTTGTCCCTGTCCCCATAACCCATCCTGTGTCCCCAGCCTCTATCTGTGTCCCCATCCCTGTCCCCAAAACCCACCCTCTCCCCATCCCGGTCCACAGCCGCCGTATGTGTCCTCGTCCCCTGCCCCCATCCCTGTCCTGTCCTTGTCCCCATCTCCCACCAGACTTGCAGCTCTGTGTTAACAGGTGCTTCTGCGTCCAAGCGAGCCGGCGACTCGAGCGATGACGTGTCGTCTCCACTTCGACCTCTTTTTGGTCCCAAACCCGGGCCACATCAGGACCCTCACCTCCCCTGTACCCGCGCCCGAAAGCGTGAAAACACAGCTTTTATTTAGGAATCTTTGCGTCCCAACGATGGTGGAAATGCCGCTTGTTTCACCTCAGGCCGCCCTCCCCAGCCCCGCGCCGCTCAGCCTCAGTTTCTCCCCCGCAGCGCCCCAGAACCCGGTCGTCACGTGCCGCCGCCATTGTGGCGTCAGCCAGCGAGCCGCGGTCACGTGCGCGCCGCCTCCACCCCGCCCAGCGGCCACGCGTCCGCCCTCCGCAGACTCCGCGACCCCGCCCCGAGGTCACGTGGCCGTCCGCCGCTGGCTCCACGGCCCCGCCCCGCAACCACGTGGTCGCCCGCCGGCGCGCCCGCCTCCAGCTGCGCGCGGCTCCTCGCGGGCCACCGTAGAGGGCGTCGGACGGCCGCCGGGACGGAAGCCGAGAGGCGCTGCCGACCGCGCCTGCGACAGCGTCAGCCCTTCGCGGAGCGCCGGCCCGATGGCGGCGGCGGCGATGGCCGAGCAGGAGAGTGCCCGGAACGGCGCCCGGAATCGCGGCGGTGTCCAGCGCGTGGAGGGCAAGTTGCGCGCCAGCGTCGAGAAGGGTGACTACTACGAGGCGCACCAGATGTACCGGACCCTGTTCTTCAGGTAGCCGCTGCGCCGCGGCCGCCGCCTTCCAGGGCTTTCCGCCGAGCCTGGCGCCCCGCCCCCGGCCGCCTTCCATTGGCCGCGCCTCGCCGCCCCGCGCCCCCATTGGCCCGCGCCGCTGCCTGTCGCCGCGGCGGTCGGAGCAGGCGGGCGGCCGGGAGGCGGAGGACTGAGGACGCCGAGCCCGGCCTCCCCCGTGCCCCGGCCCAGCTCCCCGCCAGCCGGGCCTCCCCCAGTCCCGGCCCGGCCGCCCCATGCCTGGCCCGACACATTCCACTCTCCGGGCCCCTGGCCGGCCTCGCCCAGCCACGGCCACCCCGGGACCGAGCCTCGGGGTCTGCGTCCCCCGGCGGTCCGGTCGTCCGGGTTAAGCGTGTTTCTGCCCCGGGGCTCCTGCGCCGCGCACTGGGCCAGCCGTGCCCGCGAGCCCGGCGCTGCGCCTGCACCTGCGCGGCCGGCAGCCCCGGCGCCACGGTGAGTGTCCCAGGCGCTGAGCTGCGGGGCGCGGGGGCGCTCAGGGCTCGCGACGCATGCAAGCTGGCCCGCTGCGGGTTGCGGGCGATAAAATGTGCTTTTCCGGTGCGGCCCTGGAGCGTTGGCGAGTGTCGCGTGGCCTGCGTTAATTTTCTTTCGGTAGTTGCGCTGTAACACGTCCGCTGCTGTGATTTCTGGGTGGTTCTTGGCACATTCCGGTAAGTTCTGCCGCTTCTCTACGGTTCAGGCCAGAACACAATGGGCCGTTCGTTGCGAGTCGGATAGGCCTTAAAGACCATTTTATAGGTGGTTAAAGCTGTTTTGTGGCCTGCTTTTTCTTTCCCAACTGCCACAGAGTCGGGCCTGTTCACCATTTCGGCCTAGGTTTTTTAATTTTCTTTAAATAACCAGTTGGATCGAGGTCTTGGGGACTCACAGGTGCTCTGAGTGCGGCTCGTCACGTCCCAGACGACGGTGGGCTCTGTTGGCTTAGAGGACCAGGTAGGAGTGAGTTGGTTGTGGTTCAGGGAATCAGCCAAAGACTTGAGTAGGCTAGGCATTGAAGTTTGCAACATGAAGCCTTCCGCCTGGCCGCTTGGCAATCAGATATCCATGTGGCCTGGAGATCTGCCCCGGTGCTCGCTGTTCTCCGGGATTTGTATGTAAATATTTGCCCCAGTGATTAATCAGCGAAACTGGATCTTCCCGAAAATGAACAGTGTTTCTCGTTTTGAGACACTTCTGCCCGTGTGGGGAAAGGAGGTGTTGATCAGCTATAAAGAGGCAAGTGTCTCTGCACAGGGTGTGTGTCTGGAGTGGCCGGGGGTGGTGACGGAAAGCATGCTCTCTGCCAGCACAGCCTTGACCTACTTCGAATTCCACCTCTGCTCTGTGACCAGTGACCCACGACATCTTGCTGAACCTGTCTCAGCCTCGGCTTGGTCGTGGGGCAGTGGGGTGTACCTTCACCTCTTGGTAGTTGGGAAAAGTAAATGATCTGCCGTTGGCCTCCCTGGGGACGAAGTCGGTGGTGGCATTTGTGGCGTCCACAAGGTCTGAGTGAAACAACCGGGAGCTGTCCTTGTCTCCCAGGGTACCGTCCGTGCGGATCTGTTCAGAACCCTCCTCCTGGGTGCGTGGCTCTGGGAGAAGTCAGGTTCACTGAGTTACATTAGGTTTTTGGTCTTTGTGTAAGTAAATACACGTTTGTCTAAGAGTTTACGTAGAACACGCACTCTGATGAGTTTTGGCATGTGCTCGCACGAAACCGTCAGCAGTCAGGATACTAAGAGTTTCCGTCACTGCCTAAGTTTTCTCATCTGTACCCCTCGCCCCCAGGCAACCCCTGATCTCTGCATCACGGTCACGGTAGATGGATTCGCATTTTCTAGAATGTGACGCGAGTGGAGTCATATCCTCTTTTTGTCTTTTTCGGGTCCACGCAGCATGATCATTCAGGATTTACCCCCGTGCGTAGCGTTAATTCATTTCTGTGGCCAAGTGGTGTTCTGTAGTGCGGATGGACCACAGCTTGGCACCCGTTCACCTGTCAGAGACTTTCACAAATTACACTTGTAATTGTCGTACTTCAGGGCAGCTGAAGGAGAAAGGAGCCCGGAATCGGGCAGTCGGGTGGGTCGGGCTTACTTGGTGCGCGTCCCTTAGGCGTGGACCGTGGCAGCTGGACGCTCTGCCCCCTCTCCGCCCCACCCCGCCCCCCTGGGGTGCCAGCAGGTGGCCACTTAGTGTCTTCAGAGCTCCTCTGGGACTAGGAGGGGGTCTCTTTTCCAGGCCTGTTGGGTTATGGGTACTCAGTAGTTCTCTAGCCCCCCACTTCTGGCCTCCCTTGGCCCAGTGCCTCCACTGTCACCTCCCGGGGGGGCCCCTCTGCATCCAGCCTGCGTCCCTCTGATTTCACCAAAATCCGTCTTCCTTCCCAGGGGCCTTCTGACATTTGTGTCACTGTTTTGCCTCCCAAATCAAATGAAAATTTTCAAAAGAAAAACTTAAAACACGTGTTCTCTGCAACCTCCAAGCAAATAAGGAACTTTTCCTAAAGGAGGGGGCCGTGCCAGGGGGTTCCAGGGGGTTCCGGTCGTGTTCTCGGGGTGACCCTGCGGTGATGCTGAGCCCTCCTGAGCTCCACAGCATGGGGTGCTGTTAGCTGACACCTGACATGCCTCTCTCTGACCCCACAATTTCTATTGGTAGTATTAACGTTTTTGTTACGTTCTGCTTGCTTCTTTTAATAAAAAGCTGGGTGGGGCGCCCGCCCCCCGCCCCCGCCCCCGCCCCAATCACGTGCGGGCCAGGTGCAGGTGCGGGTGGGGCCTACACATGTGTGCTGGCGTCAGGGCCACGGG